CCTTGTAACTGAATAAATAATACAGTCAATTCTCGTATAAATATGTAAAACAATTCTTTCTGCATATTGTGAATCAGTAACTATGTTGAGAGGTTCTTTATGACCCATTAACACCATGAGAATAGCATATAATTCTAACTTTTGAACAGAATTATAAGGACTCAGATCCATTTACTTAAATTTTCTGATTTATCATCTGCTTTCCTGATTTATTTGCATCACTACAGAATGTAGGGGCTTCAGTTATTGGTGCTTCCCATACAATGCAAGGAAGGATCCAGTCAGTTCTCTCTATGAGTTGAATTCTCTTGTTTTAGGGATATTTGTTTTTTGTTTATTTGTTTGTTTTAAGACAGGGTTTCTCTGTGGCTTTGGAGGCTGTCCTGGAACTAGCTCTTGTAGACCTGGTCTCGAATTCACAGAGATCCGCCTGCCTCTGCCTACAGAGTGCTGGGATTAAAGGCGTGAGCCACCACTGCCTGGAAGGATATTTTTTAAAATCTCTTCCAAAAAATTACTACAAGCTCTTTGCCAGGGTTCACTTTCTACCCATAAATTGTCAATTTCATTACTAGTAAAAGGTGCTATAATTTCTGCTGGGTCTGTTCCTGCTAACTGACAAAGTCTCAATTTCCTTTTAGAATCAACTCAGATCTTTTCCACATAAATTTTTAATTTATCCCCAGTTTATGTGGTAAAAACATCCTCCATGACAATATTTTCCTTCTGCATTAAAATTCCTGTAGGGGATGCTTAGAGGGCAATGAAACTAGAATGCAGCTAAGCTTCGGATCCACAGCACCCACGTGTGCCGTGTGTAATCCTCTTCCACCAAAGCCAAGTCTCTCTCAGCTTCAGCTGTTAATTCCCTGGACGGTGTAAGTCCTTGTCACCATCTAAGGTTTTGTTTAAATGAATCACTTGATCAGGTTTTATCTCAATGAAGTGCCATAGATCAGAAATGTCTCTTAGCAAACTTTGAAAGTCATTAAGATTCTGCAATCAGGCTGGGCATTTGTGGTGCATGCCTTTAATCACAGCACTCGGGATGCAGAGGCAGGTAGATCTCTGTGAGTTCGATGCCAGCCTGGTCTACAGAGCGAGTTCCAGGACAATTTCCAAAGCAATACAGAGAAATCCTGTCTCAAAAAACAAAACAAAACAAATCCAAAAAAGAAAAAGAAAAAGAGTCTACAATCAATCTCTCTTCTAATTTACACCTTTTGGGGTCTAATTTTTTGTAAACCTATTTTTTTTAATTTCACCAGCATGATTTTTTTTGTTTTTTGTTTTGGTTACATAGTGAGACCGTCTCTAAAAACCAACCAAACAACAGCAGCAGCAAAAACGAAACAAAGGGGCGTTGGTGATGCACAACTTTAATTCCAGCACTCGAGAGGCAGAGGCAGGTGGATCTCTGTGAGTTCGAGGCCAGCCTGGTCTACAGAGCTAGTTCCAGGACAGGCTCCAAAGCTACATAGAGAAACCCTGTCTCAAAACAAACAAACAAACAAACCCAAAGAAACAAGCAAACAAAAAACCCACAAGGAAACAAAACAATCCCCAAAGAAGTATCCATTCACATTTGCGTAAACTAGTGGCCTCTGCCTTTGACTAATATTCCCAACATTGTCCTCTTGGTGTGTGACCTGATGTGTTGCGTCTGCTGCGCAGCCTGTGTCCGAGAACGTGGGGAGGGTGTCGGGGATTGACAACACAGAGATGTGTTCAATGATGTAAAGAAAACTTTAAGCAGGCCCCAAAAAGGCTCAAGAAAACTTCCTAAGAAAGGCTCCCACCAGAGAAGCTTCTGCTCTCTCCTCTCCCCTGGCTGGTTCTGCTCTGCCCCCAGAGGTGGATGTGGGTGGGTCTGAAGGTGTGGTTAGTCTTTGGACAAGGTCGAGGTCAGGGCGGTTTCCGTGGGAAGGCCTTTTCCAGGAACTTATTGCCCTGGACATTGTATGGTTTTTAGTAAACATGTTTTTACTAAACATTGTCTTACAGCTGCCTACTCCCAGGCAGAAGGGGAAGTGGGTCTCTGCTCAAGGTCTGGTGTCCCCACACTGATGGACTCCCTGCCTGACAAAATTCTTCATGACTGACTCACCATGAGATCAAGTCGGAATCCTATTACTAACAAAATAGCAGTGACCTCCTTGTATCTTGTGTTTACGGAGAGGATCTGACCTCTTGCTGTCCAGACTCTGTCTTCAACCCTGCTTCATGGGGTCTAGAGTGCATATTGCTCTTGCCCTAAGTTCAGCTCTATTAGGTGGCCTGGGGATCTGGCACACCCTCTTCTCTTCTCCACAGGCAATCTCTGCTTGAATGTAGACAAGTATCAGCCCCCCCCCGTGTCTCCTGGGCCACTCCTTCTATCTCAGCTCCACAGAGCAGGACTCAGGCTGAGACCCAACATCTTTCCACGCATCGCAGACATTGTCGGCTCTTCAGCCTCCTCCAAAATTCCCATTAACCTCTTGGGTCTCCCTGATCTGTGGTGGTGGTGGTGGTGGTGTGTGTGTGTGTGTGTGTTTGTGTGTGTATGTGTGTGTCTGTATACAGTGCCTGCAGAGACCTGAGTAGGACACTGGATCCTGTGACATTTCATTATCAATTAGATACAACTTAGAGACTCACCTGACACAAGGGGCCTCAACTGAAGAATTATTTCCACCAGACTGGCATGTAGGTGTGTCTGTGGGTCACTGTCCCCATTAAGGATTGATGTGAGAGGGGCCAACCCACTGTGGCCTTAGGGTTCCTAGGCAGGTGAGGAAGCCAGGGGGAGCCAGATGCTTTGGGCTCCTGCCTGGCCTCTCTTCTTGCTGGACTAGAACCTGTGTCCTGTGGGAACAACAGACCTTGGCCGGAGGCCCACTTCCCCATCAGCCTGGGAGCAGGCAGCTATAACAGACCACAGAGAAAACATGCTTACTAAAAACAATCTGGTGCCAGTAAGAAATGTTTACCGGAGCAGTAAGTTCCTGATAAGGGCTCACTCACAGGAACACCCTGACTTTGAGCTTTCCAATGGGTAGCCGCCCCCAACTCTGGTGTCAGGGGCATATAACCAGCCCGGGTTAAAAATAAAGCAAAGCTTTCTTGAGCCTTCTTGAAGCTTTGTTTGCCTCACCGGCTGGTCTGTTATCAATCTCGACGCCCTCTGCATGTTCGCGGTCACAGGCTGCCCAGCAGCATCCTGATGGAAGCCTGTCCTTAGCTGCTTCTGCTCATGGGTTTATCAAGCAGCAGAAAGCAAATGATGAGATATCACTTGGAGCTGGAGTTACAGGCAGTTGTGAGCCGCCATGCGGGTGCTGGAACCGAACTCTGGGCCTTTGCAAAACCAGCAAGTGCTCTTAACTGCTCCGCCAGTTCTCCAGCCCCAGGAACTCAACCCTGATCCACTTCTAATTTACAGACCCCATTTACTTCCCTTAAGTCCTACAATAGTTCTCTCTCTCTCTCTCTCTCTCTCTCTCTCTCTCTCTCTTGCAGTAAACAAACAAACAAACAAAACCCCCATTGTCCTATCATACCAAGCATGGTGGCACATGCTTATAATCACACCACTTTCGTCGCAGAGGCAGGTGAATCTCTGTGAGATCAGGTCCAGCCTGGTCTACAGAGTGAATTCAGAATAGCCAAAGCTACATACTGAGACCCTATCTCAAAACAAAAAACAACAAAAGAAAACAAAATACCGTCTCTAACCTGGGGCCCAATCCACGTTCAGGCCTGTGCCAGTTCTCAGTGGTCCTCCAAGGCACCGACTGCTTCTTACTGAAATTCCTGTTTGGGCTTCTGTGATGTCACCTTTCAGGGAAAATCTGGTGACCTCCTGATCCCCAGCAGGCCTCTGGGACCAAGAATGCAGCACTGAGATCATGCCACTGTTTTGGCTGGGGGACATCACAGTGTTGGACACCCCCGCTTCAGTGAGTGAAAACATTGAATGTCAGATGGAAATCATGCCTACCTCTCATGGAGGCTGGAGAGGACTCATCAGTGAAGATCGCTGTCTGCTCTTCTACAGGATTTGGCTCCCAGCTGATGCTTGGCGCTCACAAACACCTGTAACTGCCGGGCGGTGGTAGCGCACGCCTTTAATCCCAGCACTTGGGAGGCAGAGACAGGCAGATCTCTGTGAGTTCGAGGCTGGGCTGGACCGGTAGCCTCCAAAACAATACAGAGAGATCCTGTCTCGTAAAAACCAAAAACCAAAACAAAACAAACACCTGTAACTCCAGTTCCAGGGGATCCAATGCTCTCTCCCAACACCACGCTTCTTGAGGGAACCAAGTGCACACATGGTTCATGTTTACGATGCAGGTGTGAACAAAACACTCATATACATAAATAAACCTTAAAAAAGAGAAATTCAGTGTGTCTTGTTTTTCACTATTTTAGCTCAATAAGAAAATAAAAATAGCCGGCAGTGGTAGTGCATGCCTTTAGTCTCAGCACTGGGGAGCCAGAGGCAGGCCAGCCTGGTCTACAGAGTGAGTGCCAAGACAGGCTCCAAAGTTACACAGATAAACCCTGCCTCAAACAACCAAAATAAATTAAAAAATAAAGGCAAAGGTATGTTTATGGTATGGGTTTTTTAGTGGATGGGAATGTTTCCTCACAGATGGGAGTGTGGTATGGACCATCCAGAGACCAGGGATAGAGATGGGACCAGAGCTTTGCTTGCTAGGGAACAGTCTGTGGCCCAGAAGCTGCTGAGCACTGGGCTCTGCTCCTATCAGGAACTCAGAGAAGGTGGCATGCCAGGGATGGTTCTCGGGGAAAGCAGTGGCAGGGGCTGGTGGTGAAACTCAGTCCTGGGGGTCAGCACTGTGGTCGATTCCAGATCAGACGCTGGAAAGCAGTGCCTCCTGCAGCTTCCTCACGGGGGCACTGCTCAGGAATTGTGTCCACACGGCAGAGGGGTCCCAGGTCCCCAAACTACTGTGTGAAGTTCGTGTGAGAGACAACACTGTGCCCACAGCTGGTATGTGTACCTCATTTATTGACAGACAACGCTGCTGTCTTGACACCATTTTGGCATCATCCTGGGAGGTCAGGCAGGATGGTGTTGCGGGGTCAGAGGGAGCACTGTGTCTCTCGGGAGCCGGGGCCGTGCTGGGTACCCACCTGGGCATACCAAAACTGTGTCCGTGTCACAGAGTCGGGGACCCCGGGCCTGCCCCGGCACAGGCCTGGCTGCTGGAAGACAGGCTTCTGTGTTGGCCATGTCCATCCCAGGCCCAGTGAGGGCTCTCGCAGAAGTCTTCTGCTGCCGGTGGGGCAGGTACTGGCGGGGTGCACTTCACCAGTTACCCAACAGGCGACGTGACCACGTCAGAAGCCCCATGCCTGTCACTTGTGCCCAGTGCTGTGGCAGCCGGGGTCTCCTGCTGGGAGTGTGGTGGCCTTCAGAGCCTCAGGAATAGGGGAGGGCCATGGGGCCACCGTGAAGGTCGAAGGTGTAGTTCTCACTGTCCTTTTTTGTCAGCATGGCTGGGTGATGAAAGAGGAGGCCCTCTGTGGGACCCTTGCCGGGGAGGAGAACCTGGCCTTTGTCCTGGCCCCTGAGGGTGAGTCTTCTCAGGGGGTGCACAGGACACTGATTGGCCTTGCTGGGCCCCGTGTCTGTCTTTCTGGAGGACAGCGAGGGCTTTTTTACGGGCTCGCAGATGACTTGGTTGTCCAGGTTCCACCAGTGCTGCAGCGGGTATGCGGGGATGGGCAGCAGTGCCAGGACACTGAGGAAGGTGACCCAGCCCAGGGCTATCTTCTGGTAAGGCTGCTTCACTTCCCGGCTCTGAGGACAGGGGCAGTGGGCCGCGGGGGGGAAGGGTTCAGTCTGGGTGCAATGTCCCCAGCTCCGCGGGGGTAGGAGACGCGGGATGGGGGCGGGGGTCTGGGGTCTCCAGGTCCCCGAGGGTAGGAGGTACCGGGTAGGGTGCTGGGTCCCCAGGTTCCCATGGGCAGGGCCGCACCACACTGTCGTTCCAGGAGATGTAGTAGAGGGACTTGCTGTGGTAGAAATTCAGGAGGTAGACGGTGAGCAGGGCCAGCAGTGTGGGCGGCGTCACGTAGCGCCACAGGAAGGTAAACGGTGTCCACACCAGGCAGCACAGCAGGCCGAACATCTCAGCCCTGAACCTGGATGAAGGAGACCAGGTTGTGAGGGCCTGGGCACAGGAGCCCTCCCGCCTCTGACTCTCTCAGAATCTCCTCATGCTTGGTGTGGGGTACCAGGTCACCCCATGAGAATCACTCCGTCCTTGGGGCTGTGGCACCACAGCCCTGGGCCTTCAGTGGACTTGGGGCTGCATCTTTCGGTAGGATCTGCCTGCTGTCTGAGGACCTGGGCTCCCATGGGGTGCCTGTGCCCCGGAGGACTAGGATGGACTCAATAGCTAAGGAACCCCCCACCCCCCACCCCCTACCCCCATCCCCCACCCCCACCCCCACCCCCCCAACCCCCCATCCCCCCCACCTCCCCACCCCTCCACCCTCCCACCCCCCCACCCCCCCACCCCCACCCAGGGACTGTAAATCACCTCCTGATTCCATAGACCCAAGCCAGAGAGACGTTCTGGAACACCACAATGACGACGAGGACCATAGGGACCAGGTGGTCATCCAACAGGAACACCAAGTAGCTGCCGGAGTGGCTGGTGAAGACAAGGCTGCCCAGAAGTCCTCCCAAGCAGACGATCACTAAAGGCGGAGGTTGGTGAGTTGGGGGCCCGTGTGAACCCTGGATGCTGGGGGTGAGGCAAGTATGGGCAAGATTGGGGGATAGGGCCTTTGTACCTGGAACCAGCTTCGGATTCGTTTTCAAAGTAGGGATGTTGTTCTGCAGGGGAAGCACGATGCCCTCCAGGAGCATGATCATGGTGCCCAGACCCATGATGACCAGAGTCAAGAAAAAGATGATGGCCCAGAAAGAGTAACCAGGAAACAATGAGACGGCTTGAGAGAAGGCCACATATGCCAGGCCAGGGCCCTTCATGAACTGCGGGGGAGAAGGGCTCTAAGGCAGTGCAGCGTCTGGATGGGTGGGGTTGGTGCAGTACTTATTAGTAATGTCTGTTACGGGTGATGACAGACACTCAGCGTGGAAGTTGGAGGCACAGTGTTGAAAGCTGGCTGTGGGACCTGGGTGACCTTCATTTTCTGGGTCCCCACGTGAGAGCCACCATGTAGCTATGTCACACAGATGTGGCTGCTGTGACGCCTGCCAGGACGGCCTCTTTGACAAACACACCTTTTCCTTCTGCAACATGATGCTGCAGGGCAGGGAGAAACGGAGCACATCCTCCTGGGTGTTCCTGAGGAGCTGGCTGAACCAGCGCAGGTAAGCCAGGGGATGTTTGTGGATGATGTCCTGGGGAGGCCCTGCAGCCTGGGGCAGCAGACCTTTTGTTATCAGCTTGACCAGATTGGAGACATTCCTGGTAGGGTAGGAAGAGAAAAGATGGGTAGAGAAACAGGCTGCTGGCTCCTCAGCCGTCACCAACCATGGAGAATGAGGACCGAGTACGGTGAGATTGTCCAAGGTGTACGCTCTCACAGCTCTGCAAGTCCGTGATTGTAGGGTCCCGTCTCGTGTGTGTGTGTGTGTGTGTGTGTGTGTGTGTGTGTGTGTGTGCGTGGTGTTTATTGTTGCTGTCTTTGTTTTGTTTTGAGACAGTGTCTCTTTGTGTAGCCCCATAATCTCATAGGGAGGGGCACTACTAGGGGGTGTGGCCTTGTTGGAGGAGGTGTGTCAGTGTGGGGCAGACTTTGAGGTCTCTTTTGCTGAGGCTTCCCTAAGTGTGACAGGGAGTCGACTTCCTGCTGCCTTGGTCAAGATGTAGCACCCTCAGCTCCAGCACCACGCCTGCCTGCAAGCCGCCATGCAACCGTTGGTCATGATGATAAGGGACAGGACCTCTGAAACTGTAAGCAGCCACCCCAATTAAACGTTTCTTTACAAGAGTTGTTGTGGTCATGGTGTCTCTTCAGAGCAATAGGAACCCTAAATAAGGCAGTGTCTAATGTACAAAGCCACCAAAACACAGCAGTAGTCAAGTCCTTTTCACTAGTGCCTAGTATTCCATTAGTTGGATAGATAGCTATGCTAGTTTTAATGCAATCGTATATGCTAGGGTCTTGGGTTGCAAATTACGCATTTACCTACTGGTAGACAATGGTCAGTCACCATTTGGGTCACTGTGAACAAAGCTGTGACACAGATGCCTATCAGTAGGTGGCGAGCAGCGCAGGTGATCTGACTTTGACAAGTACTTGTCTCCACAGGCAGTGGCATTGTTTTACACACCAGTCAGTGAAGTACACGGCTTCCGGGTACTTCCTGTGTGCACGGGCTCTCACAATTTCAGTCTTAGTATCTGAGTCATCGGTAGCCCGGGCAGCTGCGGCCCTGTGGTCTCCTTGTGGTGCTACCCTCAGCTTTTCTCATGTAAGCTGGGGGGGGGGGTTGGGGTGGTGCACGCCTGTCATCCCAGCACACAGGACGCCAAGAGACGGGATCAGAAGTTCAAGGTCACTCAGCTACACAGAGGACAAGGCCAGCTTTGGCAACATGACACCCTGCCTTGATAAAACAAAAACCAGGAACATATACACCAACCAAGTAGACACAAGTTGCTGCTAAGACTAACCTTCCTACCCTTGATAGCCTAATTAGAAGGAAAACTGTTGAACTGTTAAAAATCTATGACTGTTATTGAAAAAGAGGCTACAAATTTGAAAAGGAGCAAGGAGAGGTTCATGGGAGACTTTGGAAGGGAGGGGGAAATTGTGTGACAATATGTCAAAAAATAAAGTACAGAAGGAAATTGGTGAATACTAAGTAGATTGCAATTCTGTGACTATGTGGTGGCACATACATTGTTTATTGTTTTGTGTGATGGGTATTTTGCCTGCATGTGTATGTATGTCTACCTTGTGTGGGCAATGTCCTCAGACGTCAGAAGAGGGTGTTAGATTCCCTGGAATGGAACTAGAGATGGTTGTAGACCACCATGTGGGTGTTGAGTATTGAACCCAGGCCCTCTGGAAGAACAGCCAGTGCTCTTTTTGTTTTACTTTTAGTTTGGTTTGGGTTTTGTTTTCAAGACAGGGTTTCTCTGTGTAGCCCTGGCTGTCCTGGAACTTTCTCTGTACATTAGGCTGGCCTCTAACTCAAAGATCCACCTGCCTGTGCCACCAAACTGCTGGGAATAAAGGTGTGTGCCACCACTACGTGGCTGCTGCCAGTGTTTTTAACCACTGAGCAATCTCTCTCACCTTGGCACGCATCCTTAATCCCTGGGGAGGCAGAGGCAGTGTGGAGACCCACAGATTTGACTCCATTCCATCTTGACTTAATGGTAAGAGAGTTCAAACCTACTCTTGCTCCCCCAAGGTTAAACAACAGGATGTTTGGCCAAAGGTGTAACTACTTAGGTGTCTTGATCCTCAAGACCAAATTCCAGGATGTTTGATTTAGAGCAGACGGCCAGATGTTTCGGGAATTGGGAAGGTAATTATGCTTACTTGTTCTTTGCATCATGAAGTCTTTTGCCCTCCCCTTTTGACCGGGGTATATCGGGACTGTGCGTAATAAACTTGGGGCTTGCTCAGTACGCACTGAGTGCCCTCCCGACTCTGTCTCTTGTCTGTTTCTTTCCTCAGTGCACACCCGTTCTCAGGAATATACAGACAGACTCGTTGGCCAGCCCTGACAAGGCAGATGGAGCTCTGTGAATATGAGGCCAGCCTGGTCTACATAGCGAAGCACAGGCCAGCTGTGCATAGACAGGGAGACCCTGTCTCAAAAAACAAAAGCAAAACAACAAAAAAAGCAACAAATAAAAACCCAGTGCCCTGCTACACCAGGACCAACACAACGGAGCAACTAGACAAAGCTCAGACACTTAGCTCTTCCCACCTCCAACGCACAGGCCAGCCCACAGTTGCCTCCCGTCTGCATCACGGCAAGCTGTGACAGCAGCCTTGTGGGTTCAGTTAGCAATCTGGAAATGCTGCTTAGCTTCACGTGCAAGGTCTAAGACCTGTGTTGCACTGGGCACTGGGCATTGGTGGGCTCCCTTCTTCCTGGTTGCTGACTCTGAGGATAAGGTGGAGTGGGTTCCAATGGCAGGGTTTGACCTACAGGACTGGTGCTCAGGGACAGCCGAGGTGGGCTGGCTCTGCTGCTCATCCCCCGTTACATCACTCACTTCTCAACACATCTGGACCCGCTGCTGGTCTTCCAGAAGCCCAGCACCAGGAAGATGACGGCCGTGCTCAGCAGTGAAGTCACCAGGTTGGCCCCGGCCACAATGGAGGCCAACTTGAGGTAGTTGTCACCTCTGGTCTGGTAGGAAGAGAACGTGATGATGGCGCCCATGCCGAGGCCAAGGGTGTAGAGCACATGGCCTCCAGCCTGACGCCACGTGTCCAGCGAGGACAGGAAAGAGAGCTGTGGGAGAGGGAGGCTTCTCAGGTGTGGTCGCCAGCGAGTCCGTGGTGGTGAGGCCAACAGAGGGGCGGGGGCTGGGCAGAGGGATGAACCCCAGAGGCCTGGGGAAGTGAACGAGAGGAGGACTCACCTCTGTGGTCACCAGGCGCTTGAGGCTAGCCATAGCACCTTGCAGGAAGAGACTGCGGATGAAGAAGCAGACGAGGAAGACGCAGGGGGAGAAAATCAGCACCTAGCCAGTCAGTCAGGAGAAGCGGGGAGGAGGACAGAGACAGCGTTAGCAGGCCTGAGGGCTGCAGGATGCTATGAGGAATGGGGAGGGGCCCGGGGGCCTGGAGAGTGACTGGGTCAGGGGGAGATGAGCAAGGTGGACCGTGCCAGGAACGACAGACACCCAAGGTTGACATGTGGCCTGCACAGACTTGTGCGTACCCAGATACACACACAGGAGGTGACGACAGGAGCCTCCCAGCACCCACCCACCGCCACCCATGCCCCCAAACCACACAGAATCCTTCCCAGTCTCCAACTTGCTTATGTTTCTTTCCCTCCGCCTCCCCCCATAAAGTGCTATCATAGTCCTGGGCCCTGCCCGCTCCATTCCTTCTTGCCGTCCACCGTGTTCTCTGAGTCAGGGTCTCACTGCTCTGGAGCACGCTGAATAGACGAAGCTCCCGGGAGCCTCCTGCCTCCACCACCCCCGTGCTGCGGTCACAAGCGCGGCCATGCCTGTTTATTTACATGGGTGCTGGTGATCTGACTCTGGCCCTCTTGCTTCGAGTCTTTGTTTCTCTGTGTAGCCCTGGCTGTCTTGGAACTCGCTCTGTAGACCAGGCTGGCCTCAAACTCACAGAGCGTTTGACCTTGCCTCTGCCTCCCGAGTGCTGGGGTGTGTCACCACTGTCCGCCCATGCTTCTTTCTCCCCAGCCTGTGAGGACCAATCTTCACTGTCAACCTGACTGAACGTAGACTCATCCAGGAGGTTGAGGCATGCGTCTGGGTGTGTGTGAGGCTGTGTTAGCGAGGATTAACTCCTCAGGAAAGAGGAGGGAGTAAGAGAGAAGAGGGGGAGCCACATGAGCACAGCGGGCAGCCTACTCCCCCCCTGCTCTGTGGAGACCTGGGGACGTGCACACCCCCAGCCATATGCTCCCAGCACCCTGGGGCCGCGTGTCGCTGTGCCATCCCATCCTCAGTATTCCCTCAAGCCATGAGCCAAAAGCAATCCTTCCTGGGGGAGTTTGCTTCTTGTCAGGTCATGGAGGGGATGAGAAGAGCAGGCTCTCTCACACTGGGTCCCCAGTCCTGGCGGGGCTTGTGACTGCAGGAATGGTGTCAGGAGATAGTGTGCTGGGCCTCCAGGGATGTGTGAGGGTGTCCAGAACGTGGTGATGGATGGAGGCAGCCCCAGACCCCCATCCCCCACAGGTGGGATTCTAGAAAGGAGAGTGGTTCTGCAGGTTAACACACATGGCAACGCCAGGGAGGTGGAGGGGCCGCCTGCAAGGCAGGAGAGACAGGGATGTGGGGTGGGGTACCAGGGAGTCAGGGGTGGTGACCAGGGAGTCAGGGGTGGTGACCAGGGAGTCAGGGGTGGTGACCAGGGAGTCAGGGGTGGTGACCAGGGAGTCAGGGGTGGTGACCAGGGAGTCAGGGGTGGTGACCAGGGAGTCAGGGGTGGTGACCAGGGATGTGGGGTGGTGACCAGGGAGTCAGGGGTGGTGACCAGGGAGTCAGGGGTGGTGACCAGGGAGTCAGGGGTGGTGACCAGGGAGTCAGGGGTGGTGACCAGGGAGTCAGGGGTGGTGACCAGGGAGTCAGGTCAAGCTTCCTGGAGGTGGCCCTGAGGCTCAGCAGGGAGGCGGCCCTGGGGGCACTCACTAGCACTGAAATCTTTATCCTAATGACCATGAGGACACAGAGGCTGACCCAGGTGGCAATGAGGCACAGGGTGATGCTCAGCACCAGCATTTCAATCCCGTCCTCAACTTGCTTGGAGGCTTGCAGGGTGTTGTGGTACCAGAAATACTGGTGGGGCACTGCCCGAAAGCAGGGGCCATCTGGGGGTGGGAGCGGAAAGGCCCAGACACTTAGGGGCCACCTCACATGGGGCCTCCCTCAGCTCCAGCACCTCAGCCAGCCCCACAGCCCTGTCCCGCTCCTCACCTGTCACACTGATGTTTTCCACCAGGGGGCACTGTTCCCAGGGCAGACGGTTGCCAAAGGACTGGCCAAGGTACAAGAGGTTCCAGGAGATCAGGACACTGTTGTACAAGCTCACCAAGAAACTGGCCTGGGGAGGGAAGGTGGCCCTGAGGGGTGACACGGAGGAGACAGGGAACCGGGGGCTGTGGGCCTGCCAGCCCCCACCTACCAGTATGCTGGAGTAGCCCAAACCGCTTAGCCAGGGCACCAGCTTCTTCCAGGCCCGGATGTGGTCCATGCGAAGCCACTGTCCTATGATCATCTCCATGTACAGGAGAGGGATCCCAAGCAGCAGCAGCAGGATGACGTAGACCAGCAAAAAGCTGCCTGAGGACGGGCAGGGCCTGGCTCAGGCCGCTGGGAGCCCCTCACCCCTCCACCCCTCCCTGGGGGTCTTGACACCCTTCCTGAACCTCACGACACAGGCCCTGGCCTCACCTCCTCCGTTCTTGTGGCACAGGTAGGGGAAGCGCCACATGCTGCCGAGACCGATGGAGAAGCCCACCAGGATCAGGATGTTCTCCATCTTCTTCACCTGGATGTGGGTGGGGACATGGGCCACCCGGACCTCTCTGGTCTTGAAGCCCCAGGACAGGGGTATGAGGTTGTTGCTCCTCTTTCTGGAGCTGGGCCCTTCCTCCACAGGCTCTTCCTTCTTCTTAGCCTTGGCAGTTTGTTTAGGAGGCTGGTCCATAGGGGCTCTCTTCACCAGATCAAATCCTAAAGGGGACTTGAGGTCACCAAAAACAGCAGACTTTAGGGTAGAACCAGTGTCCAGAGAGGCACAGGGAAGTAAAGGACAGAAAGTGTCCCTTTTGGGGCTAGGTTGTGGGGATGTTTACTTACGACTTTAGTGTGTGTGTGTGTGTATATCTGTCTGTCTGTCTGTCTGCCTGTGTGTGTTTGAGACAGGATTTCTCTGTGTATCCCTGGCTGTCTTGGAATTCACTCTGTAGGCCAGACTGGCCTCAAATGCAGAGATCCTCCTGCCTCTGCCTCCCAAGTGCTGGGATTAAAGGCGTGCAACACCACCTCCCAGCAATAAAAGTTTTAATAGTGAAAATACCTGTTGTTTTTTTTCTCTTTTGTGTGTATGTTCACGTGTGTGTGTGTGTGTGTGTGCGCATATATGTGGAGGTCAGAGGTCAACACCAGATGCTTTCCTGGAGCATACTCCATCTTACTTTTTCAGACAAGTCTAGCACTGAACCTAGTGTTCATATTCAGCGAAACTGGTTAGTGTGAGAACTCGGGGACACACCTGTCTCCACTTGTCCCGTACGTGGGTGCAGGCACTAACTCAGGTCCTTACACCCCATAGTAAGCCCTCTAGCCGGAAGGGATATTAAGACAGCACCTTACACATTAACACCCTCCCAGTGCCAGAGTGGCAACATCTAATTTACATGCGTGCACAGCCGTGGGTTTGCCTTGTGCTGGCACTGGGGCTGCGGTCCCAGGCTTTGTCTTCCACCAGGAAGTGCCTTTGGGCCACTTCCGTGGGAGAGCACAGCCAGCACCCTCTTAGAGAACACAGAAGGAGAGGTCCAACAAGGTTTGAACTTGAGAAGGAAGAACGCTATTTGCTAGGTGGGGTACCTCCTTCTTAATTTTCTTTTTTAATTATGTGCGGGGGTGTGTGCATGAGTGTGTGTGCCTGTGAGCCCGAAGGGAGCATGAGATCTCCTGGAGCTGAAGTCACAGGCTGCTGTGAGAACCTGCTGCGGATGCTGGGAACGGTAAGTCCTCCTAGCTGCTGAACTGACTCTCTCCAGTTTGCTGCTGGACAGCTGAGGGTTTGGTTTAACTAGGTTCACGGCCTGTATGGTCTTAAAAGATACCCTGATGTTAGCTGGGTGTGGTGGCTCGCCCATCATACCAGAACTCCCCAGTGGGCGGCGGCGCTGCGTGCAGGACGGAGCGGTCGGTACCCGCCTCCGCGCGCGACCTGCGGGGCCTCGGCGGGAGGGCGGCCGGGAGTCCCGCGGCGTCGCAGCCCGGTGGCCCGCGAGCTCGCGCGGGAAGCGGTTACCTCGCTCTCTGTCCACAGGAGCTGGCCCGCGCCTCACCGGCTGCCCAGAAGATTCCACTGAGTCGGCTGCGGGGTCACGTGATGCTAGGCTGCTTCTGCCCGGTGTGGGCTGCTAGGTCACCTAGTGATGGCATCGGTTGCCTTGTAGACTTGACTTTGAGCAGGTTGAGTGGGGTCACCAGCTGCCAGTCAGGTTCCACACATACACATGAAGGGGATGAAGGGGGTCAGGAAAAATGCCAAGTGGGGGGCGGGGGACACGTACCTGTTATCCCGGGACTCGGGAGGTAGAGGTCTGGGGGGTGAGGAAGGAAGACAGAAGGACAGACGGAGGGAGGGGGGAGAAAAGGCTAAGGATGTAACTAGAAACAAAGAGGAAAATGTAGGCCCACATCCTATTTTTGAACCTATTTGAAGAAATGTGAGAGAATGTTTTAAACCCCCCTGCTCCTAAAAGCAACCCGAATTTAACTCTTTGGGTCTCTAAGAAATACAAAGATGTGAAAGTCAAAGGTGGCCGCCTTGGGAAGGGGAAGGGGAGCAGTGGGGGAGGGAGGGGCAGGAGAGGGAGGGAGCGTGAATGAAGTGCGTGGAAATGTCGTGAGACCCGGTGTTCTGCATGACCAGCATGTGCTGATAGCCATTCTTAGAGCCGAGTGTGAATTAATCAGCTTGTGGGTTTACCTACCAGTTCCTAACATTGCCAGGGCTGGCGGTGTGGGCCTCTCATCCCAGCTGCTTAGGACGCTGAGGCAAGGGGATTGCAGACTGAAAGCCAGCCTGGGCAGCAGAGTGAGTTCAGGGTCAGCCTGCACAAGCTATGGAGACCCTGCCTCAGAAAGCAAAGGAGCCTGTGGTCCCTGGGCCTGGGTGCAGACCACCAGGCTGGGCAGCGAGCACCCTAACCTCAGAGTCCTGAGCTGACCCAGGTCCTGTCTAGCTCCCCACTCCTCCTTCCTTGGTTATTGGGGACAGAATCCAAGGCTTTGTGCACGCCAGACACGCCCTTTGCTCTTATGGCGGAAGGAAGGCAAGCCAACACCCATGAGTAGTCCCATGACGCCACACAGACACCTCAGCATACACACGCCCACACATGCACACACCCACACACGCACACACCCACACATGCACACACCCACACATGCACACACACATGCACACATATACACACCCACACATGCACACACCCACACACGCACACACCCACACATGCACACATATACACACCCACACATGCACACACACATGCACACATATACACACCCACACATACACACACCCACACATGCACACACCCACACATGCACACATATACACACCCACACATGCACACACCCACACATGCACACATATACACACCCACACATGCACACACACATGCACACATATACACACCCACACACACCCACACATGCACACACACATGCACACATATACACACCCACACATGCACACACACATGCACACATATACACACTCACACATGCACACACACATGCACACATATACACACCCACACATGCACCCACACATGCACACATATACACACCCACACATGCACACACACATGCACACATATACACACCCACACATACACACACATGCACACACACATACACATATACACACTCACACATGCACACACACATGCACACATATACACACACACATACACACACATGCACACATATACACACCCACACATACACACCCACATGCACACATATACACACTCACACATGCACACACATGCACACATATACACACCCACACATACACACACATGCACACACATATACACACCCACACATACACACACATGCACACACACATGCACACATATACACACCCACACGCACACACACATGCACACACACGTGCACACATACACACACCCACACATGCACACATACACACACCCACACATGCACTCAACCACATGTATACACACCCACACATGCACGCACCCACACATGCACACACACATGCACACACACATGCACACACACATGCACACATACACACACCCACACATGCACACATACACACACCCACACATGCACTCAACCACATGTATACACACCCACACATGCACACATATACACACCCACACATGCACACACACATGCACACATATACACACCCACACATGCACACACACATGCACACATATACACACCCACACATACACACACATGCACACACACATACACATATACACACCCACACATGCACACACACATGCACACATATACACACCCACACATACACACACATGCACACATATACACACTCACACATGCACACATGCACACATATACACACCCACACATACACACATGCACACACATATACACACCCACACATACACACACATGCACACACACATGCACACATATACACACCCACACATACACACCCACATGCACACACATGCACACACACGTGCACACATACACACACCCACACATGCACACATACACACACCCACACATGCACTCAACCACATGTATACACACCCACACATGCACACATACACACACCCACACATGCACTCAACCACATGTATACACACCCACACATACACACCCACATGCACACACACATGCACACACACATGCACACATACACACACCCACACATGCACTCAACCACATGTATACACACCCACACATGCACACATATACACACCCACACATGCACACACCCACACATGCACACACCCACACATGCACACACACATGCACACACCCACACATGCACACACCCACACATGCACACACCCACACGTATACACACATGCACACACCCACACATGCACACACACCACACATACACACACATGCACACACACACATGCACACACACGTATATGTACTCACCCATGCACACCTGTTCGCATGCAGGCGTTTACACTGGCCTGCTCAGGGACCTGTAGGAAGTCGTCACCAGTAGCCAAGGTGTGCCTCTGTAGCCACTGCAGCCACTGGGAGGAGCACTCCCTTCGTGCCCTGCCCCCCTGCTCTCCCTCAGAGGTCACTTCTGCATCTCCCCCCCCCAAACCTCCCAGGCGAGCTCTGATGCACGGTGTGACTTTGTGATGACTCTAACCTGCCAAGGTCACCTGCTGCTAAACTTTTACAACACTCACACACTCTACACAACAAACTCAAGAAGAAAAAATTAATACAAAGCTACCCCCAGAAAAATCACAGAATAGGAAAATCTTGTGTGTAGATATTTACTGACATTAAGTGCTGTTTGTTTTGCCCAATAATATTCCTTTTGTTAAATTTTAAGAGGACATAGACGCACACCAACGCATCCACAGCTGAAATGATCAAGTGGGCATCTGCTTCAAAACGATGGGAGGCGTGTGGAGGGCAGCTTGGTCTCCAGTGGGAGGGACAAGCCAGGGGGTGGGCACAGATGACCCCTCATGCCACCCTCAGATGTGTTCGCAAACACCAGAATGACAATGAGTGAAGCCAGAGGCCATCAGGCCTTGCCCGGGCCCCTTGTGACCTAACACCACCCTGAGGAGAAGGGTGAGGCACCTGTGGGAAGGCTGGGGTTCCTAGCGGCAAAGGGCGGCCCAGTCACACCCAGGACGCTTGGACAGAACCCGTCTTTCCTGCTGCTCAATCACACCCGCGACAGCGGCCTGGGGTTTATTCCCAGGCCGTCTGGTGGCCGTGTACCCAAGGACCACGAGCAAGTGGCAGCAGCAGATAAAGCTTCAGTGTGGGGACAGGCTCGGCAAGGACTTTACTCCATCCCAGCAGCCCCTCCAACGTGCACTCTGCTTTGTAGCCCTGCCCCCATGACCGCAACCCCAAAGCTGGAACTGGGGTGAGGCAGAGGAAGGGTTGGAGAAACAGACTCTGAGCAGACAGAAGACCCTGCCTTCATTTGGACCTGGCAGGGAGGGGCCAGGCCATCCCTTGAGCCCTCCACAGAGGCCTTCCAAGCCTCCCGTCTTCAGACATGCAAGTGTGAGCTGGGACCCCCAAGGCCCCTGCTCTTGGCACACTTGGAGCACATCCATTCTCTGGCTCTCTGAGAACACAGCCACCGCTACCCTGAGCCTCTCCAGGCTCTGGTCACCTGGAAAGTAGTTATCTGCTCAGTTCTGGAACCACCTGGCCGTCCTAGCTGGGCAGGCCTATCTAACCGAGCCCACCACGAAAGCAGCAATGTCTCTTTTCAGCAGCTGGGGACCCTCCTTTTTCAGCCACACAACTCTGCTGGACCTCAACCTGGTTCTGTTCCGATGCACACAGGCACTTAGTCTATAGTGCACGGGCACACTTCAAAAATGGCTCAGTCTTAGTCTATAGTGCACGGGCAAACTTCAAAAATGGTTTGGCATATGCCTGATGACCCGACTTTTATTCCTGGGGTCCACATATTGGTAGGAGAGAACCAAGCCTGCAAGTCGTCCTCTGGCCTCACTCATGTGCGGTGGGCACGTGCATGTGCACACACACACACACACACACACACACGAGCACACACACACACACACCTCATTACATATGCACCAGATGAATTTCAAGACTCTGGAGCCTGTGATGGGATTATTTTCTTAGCAGCAAGTATGATACTATCCTCCCCATTTGGTTGAGGCGATTTTCAGGACCTCTTGGCTGAGGAGCAGGTCCTAGACAAGGCTTGGGAACTGATAGCATCTGGTTTCGTAGGGCAGAGAGAGCATGGGAATTCCGCTACATATGGCTCTAGGGGGAAAATGGCAGCTCTGTGGAGAAGGCCAACTACCTGAGACATTTACATAAAAAAGCACACTCAGAGTCTGGAGCTGAGGTGACTGGTTTATTGGCCCCGCACTTCCCTTACCCCTGCAGGAGACCCACAGACTCAAAGCGGGTTCCACGGGCGGAGCCTGGAGTGCAGTGAGCATGCTTGCCCGCACTGAGCAAGGGGCTGGAGAATCACTGTGTGGCCATGGAAAAGGCCAGCCAGGAAGCGACTTGCAAAGCCAGCCATGGCTCCGCCCCTCCCTGGGCATCCAGTAGGCAATAATAGCTTTAAGCTGCTGTTGAGAGCGACCTCTTCAGTCTGCTGTGACAGATGCGAGATGTCTGGCCCGATGAGGGAAGGTAGCGGCACTAACTTGATAAAGACTTTGTTTTGTAGCCCTGTAGAGTATCCTTTGAGGCCCCTTTCTCAGTCGATGGCTGGCCACTTCCACAAGACAGTTCCGGGCATCCCCAGGTGAGGCAGTATGCAAAGCGGGCAGGAATGGGGATGAGGACAAAGGCTTACAGCCCGACCTTCAGGGTCAAGGCGCACATTGGATACAGACGAACCATCTCTCTTCTGACTATGATTGGATACAGAGGAACCATCTCTTCTGACTATGATTGGATACTGAGGAACCATCTCTTCTGACTATGATTGGATACTGAGGAACCATCTCTTCTGACTATGATTGGATACTGAGGAACCATCTCTTCTGACTATGATTGGATACTGAGGAACCATCTCTTCTGACTATGATTGGATACTGAGGAACCATCTCTTCTGACTATGATTGGATACTGAGGAACCATCTCTTCTGACTATGATTGGATACAGACGAACCATCTCTTCTGACTATGATTGGATACAGACGAACCATCTCTTCTGACTATGATTGGATACTGAGGAACCATCTCTTCTGACTATGATTGGATACTGAGGAACCATCTCTTCTGACTATGATTGGATACTGAGGAACCATCTCTTCTGACTATGATTGGATACTGAGGAACCATCTCTTCTGACTATGATTGGATACTGAGGAACCATCTCTTCTGACTATGATTGGATACTGAGGAACCATCTCTTCTGACTATGATTGGGTACTGACGAACCATCTCTTCTGACTATGGAAAGACAGAGAAAGGGGTTAATACAGCAAAGGAGGAGGAGAGGTGTGTGTGGGGGGGGTGTTAACCTGGAAAGTTCCCAGGAGAGGAAGAAGAGGTGTGGGGGAGAGGGAGATGAAGGCTAGTCAGTCTTCCATGACCAGAGCCAATGGCCAGGTCCTCAGCCTTGGCTGAAAGGAGCAGAAGGAACCCCAGGATCTGAGAGAGGGTGCACTCACAGTGTTCGAGTCCCAGGCCACGCAGGTGAGGGGCTTTGTGCTGAACTGAAGACGGCCACTACCAGGCCAAGCAACACCACAGGGCCAGGTAACACCACAGAGCCACAGACAGGGCTGATGGGGCGGCTCAGCAGAGCCGTCATGTCTGTGAGGAACTGTGGAGGGACAGTTATGGGCGGCCAGTCTAGCCTTCCCTACCTCACAATCCTCAGCTAGTTTATGGTCTGCTTTACCTCAGTTCTCCTCTCATCAAGTCTGTCTCCTATTCTCCTCCTGCCCAACACCTCCCCTGGGCCCACACCATCTCCTTTATCCTGGGATGACATCTGTGAGGTGGCAAAGACCCTTCAGGTGCTGGGTACCCAACAGTGAGCCACCTAAGCCAAGCAGCAGAATCCAGACACCACTCCGCCTCAGGAGCTCAGTCCTGCTTTCTTCCAGCCACACGTTCTCAGTTCCTCACTCAGCAGCGAGGCCCTCGATCTAGATGCCAGGCTCCCAGGTCCTCCTCTCTTCTCTGCCCCTCTGTCTGTCCAGGCTCCGCTTCAGAACACCTTCCCCAGTGCTCCTGTCTGCCTACATTTCCATCCTCGCCCTCAGTGTCTCTCTTACTTCCACTGTGGACTTGGTGCACCCACAGGGCTGTCTGCACTGCTCCTTCCTCTCCTACAGACTGTGCTTTGAGATGAGCGCTATATGGTGAGTTCATACCAGTACCACAAAGGTGTGCGCCTGCGACCCCAGCACGTCGATGTGCTCCTGAGACCCCAGCACAGCGTGTGCGCCTGCAACCCCAGCACAGCGTGTGCGCCTGAGACCCCAGCACAGCGTGTGCTCCTGAGACCCCAGCACAGCGTGTGCGCCTGCAACCCCAGCACAGCGTGTGTGCCTGCGACCCCAGCACAGCGTGTGTGCCTGCGACCCCAGCACAGCGTGTGTGCCTGCGACCCCAGCACAGCGTGTGCGCCTGAGACCCCAGCACAGCGTGTGTGTGTGCCTCTGCAACCCCAGCACAGCGTGTGCGCCTGCGACCCCAGCACAGCGTGTGTGCCTGCGACCCCAGCACAGCGTGTGCGCCTGAGACCCCAGCACAGCGTGTGTGTGCCTCTGCGACCCCAGCACAGCGTGTGTGTGCCTCTGCGACCCCAGCACAGCGTGTGTGTGTGTGCCTCTGCAACCCCAGCACAGCGTGTGTGCCTGCGACCCCAGCACAGCGTGTGCGCCTGAGACCCCAGCACAGCGTGTGCGCCTGCAACCCCAGCACAGCGTGTGTGCCTGCGACCCCAGCACAGGTGGGGACAAGAGGACCTCAGGGATTTGCTGGTCAGTTAGTTTAGCCAAAACAGTGAGCACCAGGTTTGAGACAAGACCCTGTCTCAAAAAGTAAGTGGAGAGCAACTGAGAAAAACTCCTGACACATGCGCTCACACACCCACGCACAGGCGCACAAAAACCTGCACAGCCACACTTGAGTCTTAGTAAGTGTCTGGGTAGCCATCAAGATGGCTCAGTAGGTAAAGGCACCTGCTGCCAGGCCTGACGGCCACATGGAAACTAAACCTCCACAAACATACTGTGTCACACTCATGCCCACACACGATAAATGTAAAAACCATATGGGGCTGGAGGGACGGTTCAACTAAGAGCACTCGGTGCTTTTGCTGAGGATCCAGGTTCGATTCCCAGCACCCACATAGCAGATCACAACTGTCTATAACTCCAGTTGCAGAAGATCTGATGCCCTCCTCTGGCCTCCATGAACACCAGGCACATATGTGACACACATACACACATACATGCATGCATGCATACATAATACATGCATGCATGCATGCAGGCATACATACATACATGCATGCAGGCAGGCATGCAGGCAGGCAGGCAAAACATCCATACACATAAAATAGTTTGGAAAATGTTAGGTGAGTAATAACAGTGAGGGAGGGGACAGACTCTGAACCACTTGCAGCACCTCCTGTGTCCATCAGGGTCACTTGTGTGTCCTACTAGCAACTTCTTTCTGGAGACCGGGTCCCTCTATGAAGATCAGGCTGGCCTTGGACTCGTGGAGATTCGCCTGTCTCTGCCTCCTGTGTGCTGAAGTTAAAGCATGCGCCATTGTGCCCACCCTATTAATTTCTGAAGTGCTCTGACAGAAATCTAAGGAGGAAAGGTTGGCGTGGGCTCCTGACTGCTAAGGGAGTGTGGCCCATCACGATGGGGAAGAAATGGCCACAGAGCTGGCTCAGTCTGTGGTGGCTGCAACATGGAGTAGACTAGGAAGCAGAGAAAGCAGGCTAGAGCCAGGGCTAGCCCACAAGATGGACACTGAATATTCAAAATGCGAGCTTGTGGCTAAACGTCACATCTGAACCACCACAGAAAAGAGCCTTGGCTGGAGGTGGTCCCTGCTCCCTGTCTCCCCCGCCCCCGCCCCAGTCCCTGTGAGCGCTGCTCCCCCGCCCCAGTCCCTGTGAGCACTGCCCCCACCCCCGCCCCAGTCCCTGTGAGCACTGCCCCCGCCCCGCCCCAGTCCCTGTGAGCGCTGCCCCCACCCCGCCCCAGTCCCTGTGAGCGCTGCCCCCACCCCGCCCCAGTCCCTGTGAGCACTGCTCCCACCCCCACCCCAGTCCCTGTGAGCGCTGCCCCCACCCCGCCCCAGTCCCTGTGAGCGCTGCTCCCCCGCCCCAGTCCCTGTGAGCACTGCCCCCGCCCCGCCCCAGTCCCTGTGAGCACTGCTCCCCCACCCCAGTCCCTGTGAGCGCTGCTCCCCCACCCCAATCCCTGTGAGCGCTGCTCCCCGCCCCAGTCCCTGTGAGCACTGCTCCCCCGCCCCAGTCCCTGTGAGCACTGCTCCCCCGCCCCAGTCCCTGTGAGCACTGCCCCCGCCCCAGTCCCTGTGAGCACTGCTCCCCCACCCCAGTCCCTGTGAGCGCTGCTCCCACTCCCACCCCAGTCCCTGTGAGCGCTGCTCCCCCACCCCAGTCCCTGTGAGCGCTGCTCCCCCACCCCAGTCCCTGTGAGCACTGCTCCCCCGCCCCAATCCCTGTGAGCGCTGCCCCCGCCCCAGTCCCTGTGAGCGCTGCCCCCGCCCCAGTCCCTGTGAGCGCTGCCCCCGCCCCAGTCCCTGTGAGCACTGCTCCCCACATCAGGCTATTCCCACACCGCCTCTTTGCTTGTTGTTTGTTTTGGTTTTCTTTTTGAGACAGGGTTTCTCTGTGTAGTCCTGGCTGTCTTGGAACTCACTCTGTAAAACAGGCTGGCCTTGAATTCACAGAGATCTGCCTGTCTCTGCCTCCCAAATGCTGCCACACCTGACTTTTCTGACCACAACTTTATCACCCTAGCCCAAGTCACTACCGGCTCTTACTTAGAATCTTAAACGCTCCCGATTCCCCTCCTTGGTTCCGCTTGTTTTCCTTCACAAGGCACCAGAGAGCGGTGCCTTCATAAAGTAAATACATCTGGTGGTGCCTGCCTTTAGTCCTAGCGCTTGAGAGGCAGAGGCAGATGGGCTCCTACGTGGGGCCAGCCTGGTCTACAGCAAGTTCTAGGACAGCCAGCAGAATATACTGAGAGCTTGTCTCTAACTTTTTTTTAAATCCAACAATGGTGCTCCCTACTCAAAACCACTCAGTGTTTTGTGGAACTTACGAGATCCCATCTTCTGCCCCCAAACCCCTTAACTCTATTCCAGCTTCCCTACTGCATTCCTGGTTCCTTAAAAGCTTCAAGCAGGGTATTTTCCTCTGGTGTACACACATGCATGAACAGTCACACACATACATGCACATAAATCATGGCCTCTCCCTCATTTCCTGAGGAGGCTTCTAACCCACCACCCTTCCAGAAAGGCCTTCCTTATTACCCTGTCTGGACCACACACACCCACTCTGAAGCAATGGAGCCTTTGGTTTCTTCTTGTCTTCCGTTCTGTGTGTGCACACTCATGAACACGGGAGCTAGAGCATGACCTAGGCGGCTCCCTCTGCTACACCACACCTTATTTTTCTGTGACAAGGTCTCTCACTGAACTTAAGGCTCTACTGTCTGGCTGACAAGGACCCGGGGTCCTGCCGTTTCACCTCCCAATGCTAGAATGGGTGCCGCCGTGACCGTTTCTGTGGGCTCTAGGAAGAGATCAGGAGTGCATGCTTGCACAGCAAGGACTTCACCAGCTGAGCCTCCTCCCAGCCTCACTTGTCAATTATGGTCTTCGTGTCTGTCAGGGTTGCTGCTGTGTGTCTACCCACTGGAATGTATGTGCCTGAACGCGGAGACTCACTTTGGTTTTGCAGTGTCCCTGGTCACTAACAAGCCATAAGGCCAGAAACACGTGGCACACACAGTGTGGTGAACAAACATTTCTCGGAGGCCTTGAAGTCAAGGATCCCAGTGTCACTCTAGTTTGATATTAGAAACGACGGGAAATCTGTCAACCCGCCCAAAACATCCATGGTCTGGGGCTGGCGTGGGCCTTCGCCTCTTGGCTCCGTAGGCCAGGCTACAGCAAGGCTTTCACATATGACGGTGCTGATGATGGGCAACGCCGTCCAGCATCCAGTCAGCAGCCAGCGGTGGATGAAGAAGAGGCCGCACAGGAACATCACCATGGAAACACCCACTGAAGGAAGCATTAGGATCAGAGCTCTGGGAGATGATGGGACTAAGGGGAGACCATAAGCCAGGGCTGGCGTTAGGGCTGTGGGAGAGCAGAGTCACAGGTGGAGAAACCTGTAAGTATCCTTTGATGTCCCGAAGAAGGAGGAGGAGGTGTCCTGGAGGGGGATAATGATGCCAGCATGGACACCGAGACGGTACACAACCCCAGACTCAGCAGCAGCAGGAAAAGGAGGACAGCCCAGAAGGCAGATGCAGAAGCGACCGAGATGACTTCAGGAGAGGCCAGGAACACAAACCGGGGCTCTCCTCAATCTGCAAGGACAGAAAAGCAAAGCGCTCCCTCTGCCTTCTCTACAAACTCCCTGAAACCCTGACCTGAAGAGGAGGAGGAGAGGAGACCCCAGGCACACCTGACAGGACCCCACCCCTGCAGTCTGTGGAAAGTGCTCTGTGTTTCCTACATTCCCAGGGTTATGTGTCACATTTCTTTCTGGGTCTAGTGAAAGCTGAACTCTCTGTGGTGCTGAGCAGGCTGTTCCAGCATCTCCTTTGTCCTGGGCCATCCCCACTGACCTTCAGAAACTGCTCTTGGGTGTTGCATTCAGGCACCTTGCTGAGGACAGCCCTCCTCGAGGGTGGTAGGAGGCTGCTGAGGCAGGAACTGTCGGTGGAGGTCAGGTTGTTCTGCATGCCAAGGGGCTGCACCTCAGGCCGTAGGATCCCCCGGGCTACCAGCATTATAAGCTTCTCTGTGTTCCTGAGGATGGGGGTGAATTGGGACCATGAGGCCCTTTGGCACTGCCCTTCCCTTGCTCATCTTGCAGATGAGAGCCGTCTTGAGCCTGCAGTGAAATCTAGAGGATGTCCTTTTTCAGGGCCTTGGAGAATAAGAATGTACTCCCCCGAGGAGCCCTCAACACGGATTTTCTACAGACTTGCTAGGGACTTTCTGGTCCTGGTGTTCATGAACTTTCTGAGACCAGTAGGGAAAAAACATTTAAGCACCGCATTTCAGAGCACATGGCAGCTTCCTTAGACTGGGTGTGACAGTCCCAAGTCGCGCTATGTGAAGGCACCATCACTGAGATCCGAGCAAAGTGCAGGCCTTGGAGAGTGAGTGTGCACTGATCGTGTCCTAGAGATTAAAGCGGTGCTATTCTGGTGACAAGGCAGCTGCACACTTAGACTAATGTCCTCACTGTGAATAATTTAATCTTCTTATGAGAATAAAACTAATGTCCTCACTGTGAATAATTTAATCTTCTTATGAGAATAAAGCCGTTGACAAGGGGCTGAGACTTGGCTTGGCAGCTAGTAAGAGCACTTGCTGCTCTGCCAGAGGCCATGAGTTTGATTCCCAGCACCCATGTCAAGGCTCACAGCTGCCTGTAACTCCAGCTCCTGGGCATCTGGTGCCCTCTTCTGCCTCCTCCGTCTACATACATACCAAATAAATGAATATGAAGATGTAGTTAGTTAAATAAACAGTGCTGTAGAAGCTGACTGCACATCACCCACTTGCTTTTTATTTTATTTTATTTTATTTTTTTGAGACAGGGTCTCTCTTTCTGGCTGTCCTAGAACTCACTGAGTACAAGTAATGTGAGAGGGCCGCACCTTCAATATCAGAGCAGAAAGGCGGTTAACAAATTAACAAAGCAAGGGGAAATGTCAAGAATCCAATAGAATGCATCCATAAGGCAGCCTTAGCTTTAACTTGTGAAAGACCCCGAATTTATAGAAATAAAATATAAGCTTAAACAGGGAGGGCACCCCACTAGAGAACTTGGGAAGTGAACAAAGGACCCCATCCCAGGAACTGGCCAAACCACAGAATGGAATGTATGGTTTAGCAACCTTAATTGCAGAAGGGCTGTAAACCCACAAAAGGCCAATTCCGGGCTGCTGACCACCTGTGAAGAACTGACCAGGGCGTCAGAGATGGGCAAACAAGATTTGTGGGAACCACCATTTACTTAGGGAGTGATGATTAACTCATACCAAGGTTTGAGGAATTTACAACGTGTAGGTCAGGAAGACATCTACTTCTCCTGGTCAGTAGTCACGTACCCCCCCCCCCCCGTCACAAGATAGGGACCCTTCCCAAAGGCTTGTGGATTTTGTCTTTAAAAGCTGATTGTAACTGAACTTCGGGGCCAATCGGTCTAAAAGCTGACCGAGAAGCCCATCTGCAGATGCCTAATTAAAAAGCCTCTTGCGTGTTGCATCAATTGGCGCGTGGACTCTTGATTCTTGGGGTGACAAATCTAGCCTGGGGATCCTCCTCAATTTGGGGTACCCCAACACTTGAAGCACAGTTTTCAACTCTGATTATCACAAGAACAAGACTTGGGTTCCAGAAAGGGTTTCCCAAAGCTGCTGCCTGGAAGAACTCACTCAACCCTAGAGCATCAGGATGGCCATGAGGAAGCCAGGCTGAGTGCAGAGCCTGCCTCAGGAGGATCACAGCTTCAAAGTCAGCCTAGTTTACACAGTAAATTCCAGGGCGGGCAGGGCTACGTGGTGAGGCCCTGCCTCATAAAAAAACAATCAATCAATGACTATTTAAAAGGGGGGCTGGAGAGACGGCTCCGTGGCGAGGAGCACTGGCTGTGTTTGTAGAAGACCCACATTCAGTTCCCAGGACCCACACGGTGACTCTCAAACTACCTGTGTTCCAGTTCCACAGACGGCCACCTCTTCTGGCCTCTGTGGGCACCAGGCATACACAGTCATACAGGCAGGCAAAACACTCATGCCCATAAAATAAAATAAAACCGCCTTAAAAACTAAACATAGGGCTGGAGAGATGGCTCAGAGGTTAACAACTGGCTGTTCTTCTAGAAGTCATGAGTTCAATTCCCAGCAGTCACATGGTGGCTCACAACCAACCGTAGTGAGATCTGGTGCCCTCTTCTGGCCTGCAGGCAGACAGAACACTGTGTACATAATAAATAAATAAATAAATCTTTAAAAAAACTAAACTAAAAATAAACGTAGACTCAAAGTGAAGAAGGCTGGGATGCATCTCAGTGTGGAGCACTGCCTATCACAGACAAGGCCCCGACTCCAACCACTGTTAGGCTGGGTGTCCAGAGACAGAGGCAGGAGAGTCTCAGTGAGTTCAAGGCAAGGCAGGTCTGCATAGCAAGTCTCGGGTCAGCCAGGACCACAAAGAGAGATCCTTTCTCAAAAAAAGAGGAAAAGATTTATTTTTATTATTTTTTAAATTATGTGTCAGGGCTATGAGTATGTGAGCACAGGTACCCACAGGATCCTGAGGGTGTCAGGTCCCCGGAGCTGGATTTACAGGCAGCTGGCAGACATGGGTTCTGGCAGCTATGGGTGCTGGGAAGCAGCACCTATTCCTAACTGCTGAGTAATCTTTCTGTCCCCATGGGAAGAACATTAAAAACAAGAGCAGTCATCAATGAAATAAACAGTTAACAAAATTAATAAAGGAGAAAAACAACCGGAAGCTGATTTTAAAATAAACTATAGGTAGCCAGGTGGTAATGGTGCATACCTTTAATTCCAGCACTCAGGAGGCAGAGAAAGGCAGACTCTGTGAGTTCAAGGTCAGCCTGGTCTACAGATAGAGTTCCAGGACAGCCAGGACCACACAGAGAAGCCCTGTCTCGAAAAAGACTCAAATAAATCAATAAATAAACCACAGGGACTCGAGAGATAGTGCCAGGGTCTCTGCTGCCCTCTTCTGGCCTGCAAAGGCATCTGACACACAAGTTTTAGACAACACAGGGAGGAGCTGGGAGAGGGCTCTATGAGCAAAAGCATTTCCTCTGCAAGCAGGAGGACCTGAAGTTCGAGTCCCAGCACCCATGAACACCGTAGTCACCTGTGCCCGTAACCTCAGCACTAGGAGACAGAGACAACTAGATCCTTAGAGCTTGCTGGACAGTCAGCCTAGCTGAAATCTACTTTGGCAAGAGAGCCTGCCTCAAGGCAATGAGGTGGAGATTGATAGACAAAGACAGCAGCCACCCCCTCTGGCCACAAAGATAGCAGCCACCCCCTCTGGCCTCCATCTGCATACACAAGAGCACGTGTTGTGCATTCATACCTACCACAGGAAGAAAGAAGCAAGCAAACTATGCGGAGCATTTTCTGGGTGGTCACGTCTTAGTGTGGGTGCTGTTTCCACTGAGCATCTGGTTTAATGTGTCTCTTTATGCGTGTGCAATAGCTCATAATAAAGGTCCTTTTTAAAAACACACACAAGGGCTGGGCAGTGGTGGCGCACGCCTTTAATCCCAGCACTTGGGAGGCAGAGGACTGCAGATCTCTGAGTTTGAGGTCAGCCTGGTCCACAGAGTGAGTCCCAGTATGTTCATCCAAGGCTATGCAGAAAAACCGTCTCAAAAACAAACAAGCAAAAAGTCCAACCAAGAAAACACAGAGGTCACCAAGATGTCTCAGTGGGTAAAGGGCTTGCCATGCAAGCCTGGAACAGTCCCTGGAGCCCTGTAGGGAGAAGGGGAGAAGTGATGTCACAACCACGTCTTCTGTCCCCACGATGACATTCCACCCCCCACATCAAGTGCACACCACAGCAATAACCAAGGAGCCAAACAAATGACACAAATATAGTATTTGCATGTGCCTATCAAACTTACTAAACTAAGAAGTCCAGCCAAGTCTAATAAAGTGCTGTGCAAACCAAGAGACGGAGTCCTCACGCTTCCCTGCTGGGAGGGTAGTTCTGATGAAACTACTATGGCAATCAGACACTGAGCAGACCCTGCCCAGCAACTGCCTCTGAGGCTTAGCCTGGCCCGCACATGTATAAGCTCTCCATCCCTGGACTCCAATTTTACAATACTGCTGACGTGTCTATGCGATTAGATCCCCGATATCGCGTTCTATACTGAACAAGTACGAACCATACCCGACAGAGCTGGGTATGGTGGCACACACCTGTGGGCCTACAGACAGCAGGCTCACACAGGAAGGCAGCTTGTGAGCTCCAAGCCAGCCTAGGCTACAAAGAGATACTGGCCTGAAGCGAAAACAAAACGTCTATCTCCTGAACAGTACAGGGTGAAATCTGCTCACAGCAGCAACATTGTTTGGCCTGTGCCGTCCTGGGGTGATTTCTGTCTACAGGAATAGTAAGTAAGTGCAGGAGGACATTGCATAAGGAACGGAGCAGCTGCAGGTTACCTGTGTGGTTTTTGAGAATTGCATCTGCTATGTAGAACTCTGAATACGTAGAAGAGTCCACGTGTGTGCCTGGTGTCAGGTGGCTAATTTCTATGAACTGGAACGGAAACAGCTCCTCCTGAACCAAGGGAGGATCACAGGACTCTGGAAGCTAACCAAACCCAGGAGGCGCTGGAAGCCAGAAAGGCACAAGACAAGAGACCCCTCCTCAAGATTATGCGTGTAGTCACGATTGCTGGGGAGACTCTTCCTAGATCTGTCGACAGGAGGTTCCGGGAGCTCGGTTTCCCAGTCACAGTGAGGCTTTTAAGTTGCTGATTTCCTGTAAGTGGTCTCTCAGCCATGCTCCCACGCGAAACCCAGTAAGCCATGGCTTCACCAGCTAGACTTGGCTGACACCCTCTTTGGCCTGTTGTCAGTTCCCTGTCTAGGCTGAAATTTTCCAGCAGAAAATGACAGTCATTTGTGGAGATTGGGGTTACCATGGAGAAATCCAACTCAGGTTCGCCTTCCTTGGAAGGCCTCTCTGGCTCTGTCAGGCTCAGATTATCAGCTATCAGAAGCTTATGACTAGCTGGCTCAGTATCCAATTCTTCATTCCTTCTGCTTCAAGACTGAAAAAAGGTAATATAAGCATGACGGGCACTGATGAAGCAGTCCAGGCTTCTGTGATGACAGCAGAACAGCAGGAACACGTTCCAATGCTCTCTTACATGGCAGGGTGTTCACAGCTAATCATGGTGTACTGCACATTGAAAACAACAAGGGTGGAGAGATGCACCAGCCCTTGAGAGCGCTTGCTGCTCTTCCCAAGGACTCAGATGCCGCTCTCAGCGCCACCTGCTGGCCAACCATTGGTGACTCGTCTCAGGAGATCTCACCTCCACGGGCAGCAGGTCCACACATGGTGTACATACATCTACACGGGCAGAACACTCATACGCACGTGAATAAGCAAATAAGCAAACTTTGTGAATGGTGACACACAGCTGTAAACCAAGCTGTGAGAAGTTAGAGAAAGAAGAATCAGGAGTCCAAAGCCAGCCTAGGCTATATAGTGAGACCCAGTCTCAAAAAACAAAGCATCCTGTGGGAACTCTGTTTTCCCCACAAAGAGATGATACTGTCTGAGGTGAAAGTGTGATCAACACTCTGATTTTATCAATAGGCAATGCCAATATCACATCAATATCAGTGTGCAATATCACAATACCCCCCATGAACTCACGGGGTTATAGAATGTGTCAATAAGACCAAAATGACTGAAGAGCTGGTGGACAGTCCTAGCCGGGAGAGAATCCCACGGTCTCTAACCCTGTAACATGCACTCTTCCCACCAGCCGCTGCCTCAGCCCCAAATAACACACGAGACACTATATTAATTATGAAGCTGTTGGCCATTTGTTATGGCTTCTCATTAGCTAGTTCTGACTTAATTATTAACCCCAAATTACTAATCTATATGTTTTTATAAGGACTTATCTTACTGAGGATGCAGCCTCATGCATCCTCTCTTCCTGAGATCACATGGCGACCCTCCACTCTTGACTACATTTCCCAGAATCCTCCTAGACTCCTAGTCCCACCTATCTTGCTTCCCTATTGGCCAACAAACCTTTATTCATTAACCGGTAAGAGAGACATATACACACATTGACTTCCCGCATCATAACTCTTTGGAGTTTAGGTTTGCCAGATGGGCTGAAAACACTAGATTTAGGAATCCACAGCCAAGGGACTGTGCAGGAAGCAGACTTCCTCGGTTGATCTGTCAAGTGTGGTCTCAGATGCTGCTCTCTGTGTGGGTGACCTAGGCTTGCCTGCTATTCTTAGATCTGCCCTGAGGTGGGGGATTCGCAACCTCTGGTGTTCTCTAGTGTTAAAAGTGTAGGACTCTGGCCTCTGTTCTCACTAAGAGGAAGCAGAGCTTTTAGCCTCCCTGAAGTTGAGGTGTGTGGTTGTGAAGCTGCCCAGGCTGGACCTCACCAGGGAACTGGCCTTACTTCTTACAGCAGCGGTGTGTGGCTACGGTGGCCCAGAAGCCCAGGATGGAGAGGATCATGGGAGTGGTGAACCACAAAGTGAACATCTTGATCAGACCCATAAGGAAGGCGTTCCCCAAACAGTTGCTGAAGTCAGGCGTATGGGAAGACAAGTAGACAATGGGGCCAAGGCCTAGACCCATATCAAGCACGACTTGGATCCCTGCTTGGGACCACATAGTTAGGCCGTGGATGCTTACCACCTAAAAAGGAGAAGATGGGCACAGCAGGGATGCCAAGATTTGGGAGAGCACAGCCCATAGCAGACATGGTCTACTCAGAGGGGGTAGCACAGGAGATAATGGCAGGCAGCTGTGCTGTTCCAAGAGCTCAGAAAGCGGAGGGGGGACCTCACCTTGAGAATTAGCAGCTGTTTAAACCCACATTCTGTGCCCTTCACTGGCAGAGTCCGGAGGAGGAGGCGGAAGAGCCTGAGACGGGAGTGGCACCAAGTCTTAGAGAACTCGTGGGAAGAGGATAGCACGCCGGTAGAGACTCGCCCTTCAGAGAACTCTGTGGGTGAATTGGGACTTGGAAGAGTTTCCAGCCCGGCAAGGCGCTTGCAGGGGTAACTGACCAGGAGGGAGAAACAAGGTCGTCACACTTGAGAATGCCAAGGGCCAAGCACAGCTCACCTTCTCAAAGGACTTGATCCCATTGATCATGAAAACACAAATGAAACACAGGCCAAAAAGAGGGACTTGTGCATGTTGAAGCTGGTGGCCCACCAGCCTCAGTTCTGCCTGAGGTTTTCAAGGTCTGCTGGTACCAAAAGGACGCACAGGCCGCTGCCGGATCTGGGGACATGGCTTTGGACAGGTCTGCTGGGCAGGCAACCCCTCCATCTGCCTGCACCCCTGCTCTTTCTGTTGTCTCTGCTTCATGCCCCTCGTTTCCCAAGTCTCTTCATTTCTCCGTCCTCACAAGGCCGCTGGAATGCCTCTGTAAGGGACAAGGCTGGCATGGAGCAGTGACGTTGAATATGTGGCTCGTGCAGAAGAGGATCCCGCAAGTGTACAAATTCATTAGGTGTTGGTGATGAAGCAACCTGGAGGCCAGGAGGAAAAGCAGGGATCTGAGGGAGGACGGAGGAGCGTGGCCCGCCGGTGGATGCCCACGAGCTTACTCCACAGTGAATGGTGGCGGCAGCTGCAGGGGCAGGCCTGAGAAGCTTGGGGCTCCCACCATGAAAATGCCCTGCCCCACACCGCCAAACCAGGGCTCCCACTAGCAACCTCAGTCTTCAAGAGGCTGAGGCAGGAGGACTGCCATGACTTTGAGGCAAGCCTTGGGCTACAGAGAGGGGCAGGATAAAGAGGGAGAAGGAATGAAGGGGAGGGAGAGATGGAGATAGGGAAGGAGGGGGAGAGCTTTTGTTTGTTTTCGTAAGAGAGGTACTATGCAGCCCAGACTAGCCTGGAGATGGAGATGTTCCTGCCAATGCGGTTGAAAGAAAGGCTTAGAAAAGCCCGCCTTAGCTCCGCACGCCTTCCCGTTTGTCAACACTCCACCTCAGCTCGTAAGCTTCACGGGGGAGCCTGACTTGCCTCTATCTCAGATAGCTCTGCCTCACCGCTCTCCACCCACCCGCTCTTCCCGTAACCTTCCTCACTCTTGATTCTCTGTCTTCTCTGCCTCCTGCTCCACTCCGCCACTCCCGGGCCAGAGGATGGCCCTGCGCCTCGTGTCTGCGGCCACTCCCGGGCCAGAGGATGGCCCTGCGCCTCGTGTCTGCGGCCACTTTGGTCTTTGATCCTTGTGATCTCTCCACTCTGATCTTTCTTGGTTCTTCAAATGTTCCACAAGGCAGAGGAAAGGAAAGAGAAAAGACCGTGGAAGACACTGACTGACTCAAGCAAGGATTATCAGGATACTGGTAAAGTGCTTGCTCTACAAGATGAGATCTGAGTTCAAACCCCAGGCCCCACACGGTAGCACGCTTGCAATCTCAGCACTAAGGAGCCAGAGACAGAATCCTGCCTGGCCTACCTGGTGAGCTCTCTGCCAGTGAAACACTGTCTCAGAAAACAAGGTGGACAATTCCTGAGGGAACACACATGAGGTGGTCCTCCGCTCTACACACAAACATACACACGTGAACACACACACACACACACAAACATACACACATGTGAACACACACACACAAACATACACACACGTGAACACACACACACAAACACAAACATACACACATGTGAACACACACACACACACAAAATCATCAATGGTTGCTAATACAAGATGGTCAATGAGACAGGCCATGGTGGTGCACACCTTTAATCCCAGCACTCGGGAGGCAGAGGCAGGCAGATCTCTGTGAGTTCGAGGCCAGGCTAGACCGACAGCCTCCAAAACAATTCAGAGAAACCCTGTCTCGTAAAAAAACAAAAAAAAAAAGAAAAAGAAAAAAAAGGAAGTCTTATACACTCAAATTACAACTTTAGGTGTGAAATCATGTCAAATTTCAAAAATCAAAGATGTGTTTATTTTTTATTCTATGTATCTATGTTCTGCTTACATGTATATCTGTGCGCTGTGTCTGCCAAACCAGAAGAGGGTGTTGGACCTCTTAGAACATGGCTGTGGGTTGACCTGGGGGTGCTGGGAGTTGGACCTGGGTCCTCTTTGAGAGCATCCAATGTTTTTTCTTTGTTTTTTTTGGGGGGGGTGTTTGGAGGTTTTTCGAGACAGGGTTTCTCTGTATTGTTTTGGAGGCTGTCCTGGAACTCGCTTTGTAGACCAGGCTAGCCTTGAACTCACAGAGATCTGCCTGCCTCTGCCTTCCTAGTGCTGGGATTAAAGATGTGCGCCACCACCGCCCGGCCAATGGTTTTTTTTTTTTTTTTTTTTGAAGCTTTTCATTAGGGTTTATTCGTTGTACAAAACAATGGGTTTCATTTCATTACAACGTCACACATGATCATATTTCACTCCTTCCCTGCTTGCTCTCGGCTGTTATCACCAACCAGAGGAACCCCAGGAAGCACCCACACTCCTGATGAAAGTAGTGGCTGAGTTATCAAATGCTTATCAGTGGGAAGTTGATATTTAAAATCATACATTTAAAAAAATGTAATTATCTCTGGCCTCTCACATCTAACCAGAACTCCTAAGAGTTAAAACTCTCTCCCAACTTTCAACATTGCCACCCCTGGCATTTGCACTTTTACTATGGAAAGAAAGACACATTTTAAGGTGAGTATCAGAGAGGACTCAGGGTAAAGACATGGGAAAGGCATAAGACCCTAGAATGTGACACGAGCAGGATGCTGAAACACGAGTGAGTTCACTGGTGAGAGCCGCTTTTATAAAGCATCACAGATCAGATTGGGAGCAAACACAACAGCCGTTGGTCAGGGCTCCAAGGGAAGGTTCCACTCCTGGCCTCACTCTCTGACTTACATAAACTCCTTCCCTATGTACTCTAAGTATGGTCAGAATATATGCAACTGAAGTAGAGCCTGCCTCAATGACCTCATTTCTAAATTAACTCTTCAAAGGCCCTATCTCTAAATTGTTGCATTCTAATATACTGTAGGATTTAACCTACAAATTTTAGGAGAGCCCCATGTCTTAAGAAATTCAAGCCGGGCGTTGGTGGCACACGCCTTTAATCCTAGCACTTGGGAGGCAGAGGCAGGCAGGTACAATACAGAGAAACTCTGTCTCAAAAAAAAAAAAGAAATACAAAACATTTATAAGGGTATGTTATAGCCCCATACAACAATCTATAATACTTGACATCTTTAACACTCTCAACATTGAGGGTATTTGTTCAGACTTAATTAAGAACCCAATTGAGACAAAGGATATACCTCAGTTAGTAAAGTGTTTATTTGACATGCATGAAGTCCCTAGGTTTGATCTCAGCACTATATAAAATGGCTGTGGAGATGTACATCTGTAATTCCAGGACTTGGTAGGTAGAGGCAGAAAGACTAGGAGTTCAAGGTTATCCCATCTCAAACAACAGCAAATCAACCAAATCTTCTAATAGCAATTATGTTTATAATCATATACTTTTGGGAACAAGACATAGGGTTAGCAGAGATCCATTGGTTAACCAGAACTATAATTGGCCCATGCTTAGCTCATGTCACCTAGGAATTATTTAGTGAATGGTTCTGTTTGCTGTGGTCTGTAGGTCTTTGTACACAGCCGTTCTCCTGCAGATTCCCAGCTGCTCCTGTGGGGAACGCAACGGTCACTTTACAGAGCAAGAGCCTTTATCACAGCTGGTCCAGCTCATCATCTCCCGGGAGAAGAGGCAGAGATGCCTCCACAGAAACTCATCTTGCATCGTCACCTCCACAGCTACAAACTGATCATCATAGCCCCTTACCTGCCTCTTCCAAAGACCTTTAGAATATCTCACCCACAGAGGTCATCACAGCCGTGCCCCACTTACGAACAAGCCTCAAGGAATTGCAACGCCTTTCGATTCTAGTCCAGTTAGGCCCCTGCCTTTCTTGGCAAGGAAGTCTAGTCTTCAGCCTGGCAGTCCCTTTTCTGTGTGGGTGGCGGTGGGCAACCAGGAGAAAACACACCCACAGCAGTAACCACAACCTAAGTATCTTGGCTTCAGGTGTCTCTGTTTCATTACTAAGTACCCACCCATGCTGGGCCTTGTTCTTCCCGAGTCCCAATCAGTCATATGGTATCTTCAAGAACACTCTGACTTCTTTATCACCCAGAGGATAAGGATGAAATCAGCATGCCATCAAGACAGGTATTCTGAGGGTGCTGGGGTGGAGGGGAGTACAGATCATTCAGAATGTCTCTCGGCATCAGGATGAAGTCAAATGAGAGCATAAAAGACATGGATGGCTTTCCAGACAACCAGCTCTTCTCTGTATGGCTGAGGGAGAGGATGGATTCCTGAATGTTGTCTTCCGACCTCCACACACATTCCCTGGATCCTGTGTGCTCCTCGTCCCCAGTGTCTCCTAAATGTTTCCCATTCGGTGTGCTGAAAACTAAACTTCTCCATCCAGAAGCAAGATTTAATAATCCCAGTTGAGAGTGTCCCCATCTTTCTGTTATGGGTGCCTCTGATGCCACTGGGGCCATGATGGTGTCTGGGTGGGTCCAAGCTGCTGTTGAGGACCATGTCTGGGTCCACGTCGGGATCTGTGATGATGCCCATGGCCGTATCAGCGCAGGGAGTCACTGGAACCATGCTGTGCTGACCAAGTCCCACCTTCACCCTGGGTTATCTGCCCCTGCCCCTCACAGGGTGCTGTAGCAGGAGAGCTGCCCCTGCCCCAGACCTCATCTGCCATGTGGTGGCATGGATCTGAGGGAAAGACGCCCTCCCTGCTCAGCCTTTTGGTACCTGCTGCAAGTGAGAAAACTGGCCCCAGTGTCACAACAGGGACAGAACTAGCCCTGCCCGTCACCAGCTGCAGCACAGAGGACAGCAGGCCCTGGGCAGCATATTAGAGCTGACCCTGGGCCCTGAGTGCATGAGATTAGACACCCAGTGCTCTAACCACTGAACCATCTAGCTTCTCCAGGCCCCAGTTCAAAATTAAAAAAAGTTTGGCCTCCAAGCTCAGTCCATTCACTAGTCTACCTTGTAGGAAAAATAGATACAAAGTGCCCAAAATTTCCCACAAAATTCCCTGCCCAAGAAAAATAAAATGATTTTGAAATATTAAAAACATGGAAAGGGGTCAACTGTGGTGGCATACGCCTGGTGAACTCAAGGCCAGCCTGGCCTACATAGTGATTCCTCGACAGCCAGGGCTACATGAAAACAAAAAGTAAAATAAAATTAACAATAATGATAGCACGTTGAGAGAAGGCTGGAGAGACCACGAGTGGCTATGAGCTTTTGCTGCCGCGTGCAGGACTGGAGTTGGATCCCAGCACCCGTGGCAGACAGCTCTCAACTGCCTGTATCTTCAGCACCAGGGGATCTGATGGCCTCTTCTGGCCTCTGATGGCACCCACACACATAGACATAAAAAATTAGTAAAAAATATTTTATCACGTGCTCAAAGTCATTAACAATCAGCCATAGTGAGACGCCGTTGCTCACATACCTGACTAAAACGATAACAATTCTATACATTCACACAATGTAGAGGAACTAGAAAGACTCCTTCTCAACTAGTACAAATTACATATATGGGAATATAAATAGTAATGACCACTTTGAAGAACTAGTTGGCAGTAAAATTAAACACACAAACACTATATTGTTGGCATATTCCCTAAGCCTTCATTAGTACAGCCAACTCAGACTACAGCAGTAATAACAGTGTTGTTAAACACTAATCTAAATGCTTCATACCCAATGAGGTAGATAATATTATCATTTTACACAGGTGAAAGTTGAAATTCAAAACAACTACAGACTTCCCAAGAGTGTGTGACTCATGAGGAAGAGGGCCAGGATTACAGAGCCTACTTTCATGGATACAGCTCTTAACCAAATACAATATTCAGCTTCTCACAAGAATGTTCTTATTATGCATAATTGTCATAAAGCTGACAACCACAAATGTTAGGCCTGTTATGGTGGTATGTATCTTTAGTCTCAGTCTTTGGGAGAGAGAGGCAGACAGATCAGAATTCAACACCAACTAGGCAATCCAGCCAGTTCCAAACCAGCTACAGTTACACAGTGAGACCTATCTCAAAAAAATTAAATTAAAAATAAAGACAAACACAAATGTCAATCCACAATGAAAAAATATAAGGATATTTTATTCTTTTAATTAATTATAAGATTGAAATAGAGGAAGTAAACTGGCTAGTGATGACACACATATTGAATCCCAAGCACTCAAAGGCAGAGGCAGGCAGATTTCTGTGAATTTGACATCACCCTTGTTTACATAGATAGTTCTAGGAAAGGCAGGGCTACACAGAAAAGCCCTGCCCTGAAAAAAATAGAGGCACTATAGCTGTTGAGGAGATAACATTAGAAGCTTGAGAACCTGAGTTCAGATCCCCAGAACCCATGTAACAACAAAACAACAAAGAAACTAAGCAAAACGGTATAAACCTATATTCTAGTACTGGAAGGGGAGATAGGGATCCTGTTGGGGAAGCAGTGAGATGCCTGTTGGGCAGCTTGTCTAGCTGAATCCATGAACTCCAAGTTCAGTGAGCAGTCTGCCTACAAAAAAATAAGGTGGAGTGTGACAGAAGTCACCTCATATCAACCTCTGGCCTGCACATATGCAAACATGAACACACACACACACACACACACACAATCACCACTAAAAACAACAAAATAAGATGTAACAAGAAGTAACAATCAGTGGTCACTGATATCTCTCAATATCAATGGACATAATTCCCCAATAAAAAGATACAAACTAACAGGATGGAGTTGAATTTGGGTCTTGTTTGGGAAGGAAGGAAGGAAGAAAGGAAGGAAGAAAGGAAGGAAAGAAGGAAGGAAGGAAGGAAGAAAGGAAGGAAAGAAGGAAGGAAGGAAGGAAGGAAGGAAGGAAGGAAACTTCAAGGATTTGAATGGAGAAACTGAAGAAGTAATCAGAAGATGCAAAGATCAAGCTTCAGGTGAGCTTGGGTCTCCGGGGGGACACTCCCCATCCTCCGCCCAACACCCATCCCTCGATCTTCTGGGGGCTGCTCCTGGCATCCAGAAGACCCGCCCACACAGGAAAGACATCAGCCCTTGCAGGCCCCAACCTCCAGTGATGCCAGCTTCAGCTTCAGCTTCAGTGTCATTGTCCCCAGCTTCCGCTTCAGTAAGGAAGGAGACCAGTGGAGACGTAAAGACCCCACCTGCACCCACTGGAAGAAGAGATGGGAAGAAGATGGAATAAGAATTCACTCAGCAATAGAAAGACCAACATGACTCCACCAGAATCTAGAGAACCAATGCCAGCAAGGCCTGAAAAGCACTACATAGACAAAGCAGAGGAGACAGATGTTAAAGTTTATAGCACTAAGTGCCCACATGAAGAAACTGGAGAACAGTCATACTAGAGAATTAATAGCACAGCTGAATGGTCTAGAACAAAAAGAACAAACTTCCCCAGGAGGAGCAGAAGCCAGGAAATAATCAAATTGAGGGCTGAAATCAATCAAGTAGAAATTCTACCAGAAATTCAAAGAAGAGCTGATTCCAATACTCCTCAAAGTATTCCACACAATAGAAGCAGGAGGCTCACTGCCAAACTCTTTTTATGAGGCTACAACTACCTTGATTCCCAAGCCACACAAAGACACAACTAAGAAAGAGAACTATAGACCAATTTCCCTCATGAACATTGATGCAAAAATACTCAATGAAATACGAGCAAACCGGATTCAAGAACACATCAGAAAAATCATCCACCATGATCAAGTAGGCTTAATCCCAGGAATGCAGGGATGGTTCAACATTAGAAAATCTATCAATGTAATCCACCATATTAACAATCTGCGAAAGAAAAACTACATGATTATCTCACTAGATGCTGAAAAATCCTTTGACAAAATCCAGCACCCCTTCATGATAAAGGTCCTAGAGAGATCAGGGATAACAGGAACGTACCTGAATATAATAAAAGCAATATACAGTAAACCAACAGCTAACATCAAACTAAATGGAGAGAAACTCAACGCAATTCCTCTAAAATCAGGAACAAGACAAGGCTGTCCACTCTCTCCATATCTCTTCAATATTGTACTTGAAGTTCTAGCTACAGCAATAAGACAACAAAAGGAGATCAAGGGGATACAAATAAGAAAAGAAGAAGTCAAACTTTCACTATTTGCAGATGATATGGTAGTTTACATAAGTGACCCGAAAAACTCCACAAGGGAACTCCTAGAGCTGATAAACACCTTCAGCAAAGTGGCAGGATACAAGGTAAACTCAAAAAAATCGGTGGCCCTATTATATACAGATGAAGAAGTGGCTGAGAAAGAAATCAGAGAAACATCACCCTTTACAATAGCCATAAATAGCATCAAATATCTGGGGATAATGTTAACCAAGGAAGTGAAAGACCTGTATATCAAGAACTTTGAGTCTTTAAAGAAAGAAATCAAAGAGGATACCAGAAAATGGAAAGATCTCCCATGCTCTTGGATTGGTAGGATCAACATAATAAAAATGGAAATCTTGCCAAAAGCAGTCTACAGATTCAAGGCAATACCTATCAAAATTCCGGCACAATTCTTCACAGACCTTGAAAGAACAATAATCAACTTTATATGGAAAAACAAAAGGCTCAGGATAGCCAAAACAACCCTATACAATAAAGGAACTTCAGGAGGTATCACCATACCTGACTTCAAGCTCTATTATAGAGCTATAGTCCTGAAAACAGCTTGGTATTGGCACAAAAATAGGCAGGTAGACCAATGGAACCAAATTGAAAACCCTGATTTTAACCCACACACCTATGAACACTTGATTTTTTACAAAGAAAATTTTTACAATGGAAAAAAGAAAGCATCTTCAACAAATGGTGCTGGCATTACTGTGTATTGGTATGCACAAGACTCCAGATAGATCCATGTTTATCGTCTTGTACAAAACTTAAGTCCAGCCGGGTGGTGGTAGTGCACGCCTTTAATCCCAGCACTCGGGAAGCAGAGGCAGGCGGATCTCTGTGAGTTCGAGGCCAGGCTAGACTGACAGCCTCCGAAACTATACAGAGAAACCCTGTCTCGTAAAACCAAAAATCAAAACAAAACAAAACAAAACTTAAGTCCAAATGGATCAAAATCTCAACATAAATCCTACCACACTGAAACTCTTAGAAGAGAAAGTGGGAGATAATCTTCAGCGAGTTGGTACAGGAGACCACTTCCTGAACATAACACCAGTAGCATAGACACTGAGATCGACAATTAACAAATGGGACCTCATGAAACTGAGAAGCTTCTGAAAGGCAAAGGACACAGTCAGCAAGACAAAAAGGCAGTCCACAGAATGGGAAAAGATATTCACTAACCCCACATCTGACAGAGGGCTGATCTCCAAAATTTACAAAGAACTCAAGAAGCAAGTCTCCAAAACACCAAAGGATCCAATTAAAAGGTGGGGTACAGAACTAAATAGAGAACTCTTAATAGAGGAGGCTAAAATGGCCAAGAGACACTTAAGAAAGTGCTCAACATCCTTAGCCATCAGGGAAAGGCAAATCAAAACAACTTTGAGATACCATC